GGCAGTTTCACATGTATGAGTGGATAAGGTAGTAATAGAGTTCTTATTGAGTTATTTCACACATAGTGTATATTGTAACTCAGTAGCATATGTAAAACTTCCTACATATTTGTATGAACTTACCTCTTTATCATCTGTTCCTTCTGCCATATTTACTGGATGGTCAGTGGTGACATTTCTGGAGGTTACTCAAGGCAGAAATCTAGAAATTTTGTTTTTTCCTTTCTTTGACAAGTATTTGTTAAGTAGTCACTGTGCACAAAACATTGTCCTAGGTGCCTTTTATCTAACAGGGAACATAGATACAAGTTCCCTAGCTTTAAGAGTTTAAATTCTTTCAGGGAAGAGAGAGAGAACAAATAATTCTTTTTTTTTTTACACAGGCAGAGTGGATAGTGAGAGAGAGAGACAGAGAGAAGGGTCTTTCTTTGACATTGGTTCACCCTCCAATGGCCGCCGCGCTGTGGCTGGCGCACTGCTGATCCGAAGCCAGGAGCCAGGTGCTTCTCCTGGTCTCCCATGGGGTGCAGGGCCCAAGCACTTGGGCCATCCTCCACTGCACTCCCTGGCCACAGCAGAGAGCTGGCCTGGAAGAGGGGCAACCGGGACAGAATCCGGCGCCCCGCCAGGGACTAGAACCTGGTGTGCGGCGGAGGATTAGCCTAGTGAGCCATGGCGCCGCGGGCCACCAATAATTCTTAAGTAGGAACAACCTGTGGAGCTTTAAAGGATTTTTGCTTGGGCTCAGTCCCAGATGTACTGAGTCAGAGCCTTTTGAGGTGGAGGCCAGACATGTATTAAAAGATCTTACAGAAGAGTGGATTTTGGGATGCAGAAGTTAAGTTGATGCTTGTGACATCTTGTACCTGCTGCTCTGCTTCAGATCAACTTGCTGCTAATGTGCTTGGGGAGGCAGCAGGTGATGGTCTGAGTAGTTGGGCCCCTGCCACCCATGTAGGAGACCAGGATGAAATTCCTGGCTCTTGACTTAGGCCAGGCCCAGCTCTAGCTGTTGTGGCCTTTTGGGGAGTGAAATCAGCAGGTGGAAGTTCTCTTTCTCTTTCCTTTTCTCTCTCTCTCTCTGCCTGTCACATAAGTAAATAAAGAATAAAACAGTATAAAAAATAAATTTATACTGTCTTTTTGATGTAACTCTGTTACTGATATAATATGGTTGTAGAAAATGTCTCTAATGAAAGGGTCTTATTTAAAGTATAAAACAATCTCTGTACGTAGAAGTTGTATATTCCATAGTATCTGATGTTTTATAATTCTACAATAGCATTATTATGACCAAACTATTGTCATAATTTTGCAGGTCTGCAAAAGATGATTTTACATCTGTTATTGGGAAATGTCAAGGTAAGAGTTTCCAAAATATTTAAAAACTGAAAATTTCAAATCTGCAATAGTATATAGTGTTTTGAAAAGTTAGATATTAATGAAAATGTTTATTAACAAGGATTATAATAAGTTTATTAAAATAATTGTAAAAATTTGTCACTGATTTTTCTTACTGCTATAAATATTTTAAGAGGTTTGTTTTGGAGAGATCTGACATTGGAACTGTGTTTTAAAAAAGTCTAAACCTTGGGCCCGGCGCTGTGGCATAGTGTGTGAAGCCGCCGCCTGTAGCGCTGGCATCCCATTTGGGTGCTGGTTCGAGTCCTGGCTCTTCCACTGCTGATACAGCTCTCTGCTACGGTCTGGGAAAGCAGTCGAAGATGGCCCAAGTCCTTGGGTCCCTGCACCTCTGTAGGAGACCTGGAAGAATGGGTTCTCTCTTTCTGCCTCTGACTCTCTGTAACTCTGCCTTTCAAATAAATAAATAATTTTTTTTATTTTTTTAAAGTCTTAGCTAGTTTTGGGTTCAGTGTTGAGAGAAATATATTTAGTCAAGAATTGGTCAGCTTTCGGGAACTGCGACGGTAGAAAGGTCCCGGCTGAAAACGTTGGATTTCAGTCAGTCCCAGTGCAGGTTCAAGTTTCTCCGCCCAACCCTAAAACTTCTCAGTGAAGTACATTGATCTAATTAAAAAAATTGGTCAGATACAGATTAGTAAAAAACCTGGGACTTGATCATTCTTTGATATATTCCACAGAAATTTACTGTGTACAGTTTGTGCATATGAAGTGTTTTTCTGGGTGATTGGGGTATGATTTTGAACAAAAAGGCATGGGCAATATGTTTATATATGATTATCAATTTTGCCAAATACAGTGAAGGGCACACTGGAAGTTTTAAAGCAGGAATGTGAGATGAGAAAAACTGATTTTGGGAAGCAAACTTGAGAATGAGTGCAAGTTAGGAGGAGACAGAAAGAGTTTTTCAATCTATAGGAGCAGTGTTGACAAAGTAGTTCGGGCTTTACAGGAGGAGAATAATTAAGAGGGCGATGCTAGGTGAATGAATACATATATTACCTATGTTTCTTTTTTCTTCTTTCTTTTCTTACCTTGTGTTTTCTTCTTTCTTTCTTGCTTGCTTGCTTTTCTTGGTTTCTTTATTTTACTTGAAAGGTAGAATTACAGAGAGATAGAGAGGGAGAGATAGGTGTTTCGTTCTCTGCTCCACTCCTGAAATGGCTGGAGCTGGGCCATTCTTAAGCCAGGAAACAGGAGCTTCTTCTGGGTCTCCCATGTGGGTTCAGGGGCCCAAGCACTTAGGGCCATCTTCCACTACTTTCCCAGGTGCATTAGTAGGGAGCTGGATTGGAAGTGGAGCAGCCAGGACTTGAACCAGTGCCCATATGGGATTTTGACACTTCAGGTGACAGCTTTACCCTTATACCACAGTGGTGGCCCCTAAACATTTCTTGGGTGATATGAATGTTTATATGTTATATGATATGAATTCATATAAACATATGAATGGTGATATTGATTATCTTAGAATATCAATCATTTTTATAGGCAGTTTCACATGTATGAGTGGATAAGGTAGTAATAGAGTTCTTATTGAGTTATTTCACACATAGTGTATATTGTAACTCAGTAGCATATGTAAAACTTCCTACATATTTGTATGAACTTACCTCTTTATCATCTGTTCCTTCTGCCATATTTACTGGATGGTCAGTGGTGACATTTCTGGAGGTTACTCAAGGCAGAAATCTAGAAATTTTGTTTTTTCCTTTCTTTGACAAGTATTTGTTAAGTAGTCACTGTGCACAAAACATTGTCCTAGGTGCCTTTTATCTAACAGGGAACATAGATACAAGTTCCCTAGCTTTAAGAGTTTAAATTCTTTCAGGGAAGAGAGAGAGAACAAATAATTCTTTTTTTTTTTACACAGGCAGAGTGGATAGTGAGAGAGAGAGACAGAGAGAAGGGTCTTTCTTTGACATTGGTTCACCCTCCAATGGCCGCCGCGCTGTGGCTGGCGCACTGCTGATCCGAAGCCAGGAGCCAGGTGCTTCTCCTGGTCTCCCATGGGGTGCAGGGCCCAAGCACTTGGGCCATCCTCCACTGCACTCCCGGGCCACAGCAGAGAGCTGGCCTGGAAGAGGGGCAACCAGGACAGAATCCGGCGCCCCGACCGGGACTAGAACCCGGTGTGCTGGCGCCGCAAGGTGGAGGATTAACCTATTGAGCCGCGGCGCCGGCTGTCAAATAATTCATTTTAATCGTACTGAGTGCCGTAACAGAGAAGATCCACTTTTCACAAGTCTGGGAGCCTGTTTCAACCCATTCTGCACTGCAGCCATCACACCCCTAATGTGTGCAGGCCTTTCACTCCTTTTACTTGGTGTTTTGCAACAGTCTGCCACTGCAGTTTTCTTCTGTAGGCCCTTTACCAATCCATGCTTTATACTCCTTGCCCAAAGTGATCATTTTAAGAAGAGAATACTGTCAGGTTATCCTTCATATCTGGCTTCACTGGCTGTTAGATGTGTAACCTGGGCAAATCACAATGGGAGAAGCTGGGCCAGGCTAGAACTGGCAGCCAGCAACTCAATCCATGTCTCCCATGTGAGTGGCAGGGACCCAATTACTTGAGCCATCACCTGCTGCCTCTCAGGTCTGCATTAGCAGAAAGCTGGAGTTAATGAGCTGGACCTGGGTATTGAACGCATGTACTCTGATATAAGAGGTAGGTGTCTTAATTGCTAGGCTAAATGCCCTCCCTGGACTTAGCTTTTAATTTCATTTCCCAAGAATTTTTTGAGGTACCTTTGTATTATTTATACTATTCCTATTAATTTACTGATATCCATTTATAAATAATGATCATATTCATGGATTTTATTCCTAATGTACACAGGTATGTATATATACCGTGAATAGAACAGTGAGGGTAAAGAAGAAGCTCTGTACAGGTGGTAGCTTTTTGAGAATAAAAAAAGGAGGGATAGTAGTTAAGTATTTTGGGCCCTAGTATCTTCGGAATTTACCCTTCTTTCTTTTCCTCGCCGGTGCTTACTAGAGTAGACCAGACTTGTCCCCGAAGAATGGTTTTGGGGTGTTCAGTTGCCTTTTTCCCAGTGTGGCCCTTCTGTTGGGTGAAGACCTGGCGAGTCTGAGCCGCATGGGAACTTGCTGAGAGTGTTGGCGTGACTGGCGTGCAGGGTCTCAGTCGACCTTGGTATTAGATGCCTTCTTTTGGCCAATAAATACACTGAGGAAGCTACAAGCTGACATGAAAATGGGAAGCTTAACCCTTCCGTATTTTACACAGATTTAATATTTGTTAGGAGTTTTTAGTGTGTGCAGTTAATGTGGCAGCATGGATGAGATAGTGCTCTGAGAAGTACTGTTTTATTTTTTTGGCTTCTGAATGTGTGAATTTATGACCTTAATGCGGCATTAATGGCTCCTTTCCATTTCATATAATGTGAGGTAATGATCGTTTGCTTATTATCTGGCTCATCTTTATGGGAATAACTCCCATATGCCAAATGATATTTCATGTGTGTGCCTGGAAAAAAGGAGCCAGATTGTTTTTAATGCATTTTTGAAACTACATATTGCAGAGTCTGCAAACTGAAATAGGAGATACTTGGCTCCACTTTGATATTTTCCAATTATTGTTTTGTAAAAGATATACCATTTGCGAATGTTTTAAATGTAGATTGCAACTTGTTTTAGCTCTGTTTGCCAGGCCATATATAGTAATTCAGTTTTCTCTTTCTGTCTTAAATAGTCATCTAAAGAAAAAGCACATGGAACAAAACTGTTTTTAGAGCTGTTCTATGTTAGTTAAGAATTTTTTCTCATGTTTCTAATTTTTGAGATACCATAAACGAGAGTTTGTTACTTTAAAAGATTTATTTATTTATTTGAAAGGCAGAACTGCAGAGAGAGAGGGAGAGACAGAGATCTTCTGTTGACTGCTTTATTTCCCAGTTGGTTGCAACGCCAGGGCTGGGATGGGCCAGGCTGAAGCCAGGAGCCCAGAACTCCATCTGGGTCTCCTAAGGGGGTGGTAGGAGCCCAAGCACTTGGGCCATCTCACACTGTTTTCTCAGATGTGCTAGCAGGGAGCTGGATTCCAAGCAGAGTAGCCAGACTCGACCAGAACTCACATGGGATGCTGGTGCCTCAGGCAGTGGCTTAACCTGCTGCTTCAGGATGCTGGCCCCTGAGTTTGGAGTTTGCTATTTTGTAAGCAGATGTGTGTCTACTATACGTATGCTGAGATCCTGTCAGCCTTCTAGTATCAGGACAGTTACTTTGACATCCTGAGCCCTAACTCGTTGCCTCTGGTTTCCACTAGCCTCACAAGCATACTATTATTAGGTGCTATACAAATGTCATTTTCTGAATGAGTTTTAGTGGCTTGGGGAGCATGGATTGTTTAAAACACCTGGACTTGGAAAGATAATGTTTTGTTTTAGACTGGTGAATCAGGAGCCTCAGATTATATAACCCCCTTTTTGTATTTAGAGAAAATAATGTATATTTTAGTAGAAATTTTAGGAAGTAAGAATGAGCAAAAAGTAGAAATATACATAAGCTCACCATTAAATAAATGCTACTAATGTTTTATTGCCTATTCTTTCAGAGATTTTTCTGTAAGTGCCTGTAAAGTACAATTTTTTAAAAATATTTTATTTATTTATTTGAAAGGCAGAGTTACAGTTACAGAGAGGCAGAGGCAGAGAGAGAGAGAGGTCTTCCATCCGCTGGTTCATTTTGCAAATGGCCGCAATGGCTGGGGCTGTGCCCATTTGAAGTCAGGAGCCTAGAGATTCTTCTGGGTCTCCCATGTGGGTGCAATGATCCAAGCAGTTGGGCCATCTTACACAGGTACATTAGCAGTGAGCTGGATTAGAAGTGGAGTAGCCGGGACTTGAACTGGTGCCCATATGGGATGCTGACACTGGTAGTAGCTTTACCTGCTATGCCACAATGCCGGCCCC